AAATCGCAACTTTGTAGTACAAGTCTAGTACGCGAAGTGCACTTCCGCAGCTCCAGCGCGAAAATCGCAACTTTGTAGCACAAGCCGAGCACGCGCGAAGAACACAAGTCGCGACTCGCCTTCGCGTTTTACGGCGGCCACGCAAGGGTTCCACCCCAACTAAGCTGCAACTGCAGGGGTCATTGTAGAGCCACGTGTTAACTAACTGTTATCGTTTTGGGGGAGACCGTATCGTTGTCCATGGCTTTTTGGAGTCGTAGGCCAAAGAGTACCCCCTTTACCAAAGTGGTCTACACGTGTTTTGTCCGTGGCTCTGTTGTGTCCCACGACTTGTCAGGGTGAAAGACAAGAGTTTGCCAACATTCAAATGGATTGCCAGGTGCCAAATTCTACCGCGTTGACGTGTGGAAATCCAGCAATGCAGCTCCGGCTCGCAAGTCGCAACTTTTCACTACAAGTGCAGTAAAGGAAATACACTTTGGCAGCTCCGGCTCGAAAGTCGCAACTTTTCAGTACAAGGAAACTTTGGCAGCTCCGGCTCGAAGGTCGCAACTTGTCAGTACAAGTGCAGAAACGGAAATACACCTTGGCAGCTCTGGCTCGAAAGTCGCAACTTTGCAGTACAAGGAGATACACTTTGGCAGCTCCGGCTCGAAGGTCGCAACTTGTCAGTGCAAGTGTAGTAAAGGAAGTACACTTTTTTGGGCAGCTCCGCCTCGAAAGTCACAACTTTTCAGCACATGTGTAGTAAAGGAAACGCACTTTGGCAGCTCCGGCACACAAGTCGCAACTTTTCAGTACAAGTGTAGTAAGGAAATACACCTTGGCAGCTCCAGCTCAATGGTCGCAACTTGTCAGTACAAGTGTAATAGACAAAGTACACTTTGGCAGGCAAACGTACAAACGCTCGGGCTCCCGCTTGGATGCCACGCAACAGGCGTCAGCAAATGGAAGAGCAACCGCGTTCGAGTTTCTGCTCGGGCCGAGCACGGGTGCCACGCAAGGGCACAAGCAAAGGCAAGCGAAGCCACGCTCGGAATCCCGCTCGGATCCCGCTCGGGCCGAACGCGGATGCCACGCAAAGGCCTCAGACCCTCTCGCGGAAGCCATACAGTTAGCACACGCCACTCGCTTGGCCGTGTCAGCCAGCCAGGATGCAACCGCGCTTCTCCTACAGTATTTGCCGTTTCCTGCAACGGCAGCCCAACTGTCTTGATAATTGAATTTGGCTTTGGGATTCACAAACAACGGGCCCCTAAAAGCCTGACAACTCCACCCCTGAAAGCCTGGCAGCTCCAACC